TCAGCAGTTATCAACTGTCTTTTTTCATCTACACTACCACCCATATTTCCCTGTAGGAGAGGACAAAAATCTCTTTCTGGTACCCATCTTAGGTTCATATTGGCTGGGGCCCTGCAAATTAGACTGACAAAAGACAGATGAGAGAAAAACAGACTTGTTTATTAACGTGTATTTGCTCATACTTAGTGATGAATAACTCAAAGCAGAGCTTTAACAGAAACAATAATTTTGTAGAGAGGTGGCAAGGCAAAAAAGAAAGGCACTTTGCCCTTCTGGGACTGCAAATTGTGGAAGGCGACTGTGTCGGGGAACTAAGAGAAGATAAGGGCTAGTTTAATAAAGTTTATTATGTAGATTCTTCTGGTGCTAACTCCGGGTAGAGAAGGGTCTAGAGTTGTCTCTGTCTTTGCTGATAGAGGCAAAAGGGAATAACTTTACAAATTTATGTCCTACTTTTAGGCAAGTAGTGGAAGGGTACAGATCTTTTCTTGTATCTGCTTCTTTCAGTTGTCTTCAGTTCAAAATAATCTTTATGCCAAAATGGCATATTTTGAGGAGTGTATACTATCTTTCACCTCTTTTCCTATTATTTTAAAGTAAACCACAGACAAAAATTGCCTTTGTTTTTTTTTAATCATATTAATTATAAACTTAGAATTAAAGGTTTAGTATTTATATTGTCTTTTTCTCCAAGAATAAAGTTTGCCTTTCCATTTTGAAAATCTTACTTTGCATAACCTGTAGTTATTTCTAGGCATTTTATCTTTTTTGTTTCTGATATAAATGATCTTTCATAATATTTCTGTGGTTATTGATTATACTTATGAAAGCTATTGAATTATATAATTAGTTTTTATACTGCCTCTTTATAAATACTCTTTTAGTTAGTATAATTATAGTTGATCTTCTTGTTCTGTCATCTCGATACTTTTTCATTACACACTGAATTTTGTATGTCCTACTGTATTATAATACATGCATTATCAAGCTGTTTTCTTTCCTCTGACACCAAATGTTATTAACCCTTTTTATGACTTCTGGATGTCATACATGCTTCTGACACCAAATGTGTGTTTTTTTCCACACTAAGCAATTCTCCGGTTCTCTGACACTAACTGGATGTCCAGCAATTCAATTCAATTCTGACACTAACTCCCTAGTTAGTACAGACCCCACAGGTTAAGGGCTCAGTCCCACTTTAGATGCCGACCCCAAATGAGGAACTCTGGCTATCCGCACTTCTGCATAGCCAACTGCAGATTCTGGTGTCCCCATGAGGCTCAGGTTGAATAATTTGCTAGAAGAACTCACAGAACTCAGGTGAACACTTTATGTTTACTAGTTTATTATAGGGAATACAACTCAGGAACAGCCAAATGAAGCAGATGCGTAG